ATATATATATATATGTAATTTCGGTTACGAACGGTTGGCAATCTCGAAAATTGTACCACACCGAGTGGTTGTAATGGAGAAATCTGGGAGAATCGCGAATGTCCACCTGGTCTTCTTAGTTTGTGGTATCTGTGGTACAGATTTATTCGTCTTGTTCTCAAAGGTCGAGTGTGCAGTGTCAGAGTACGTGGCCCCTTCCGCATGAAATCAGGCCAGTTTGTGCTAAAGATGATTGTCGGGCAGCAGTTCTCTCACAGGTGAGTTTGCATTTGATGTGGCACTAACAGATGTTATGAAGATGGTTAGTCTTTTTCAGTGCCTTATATTATAACAAAAGGCCCTCCAAAGAAAAATCAAAATGGCGTGCGATGAAATGAATCATGAGAGTTACTCAGTAGTTCCTGTTTTTCATGATTCGATTTCTTTTCATCCCATATAGACTTTCGTCGGCCGCAAACAGACCAGTGTAATAGATATATGAATTCTTAAGTGGGTGTTCAACTGAAAGTGCAATACTCAGGCAGACAATGGTGGTATCCCACCACCAACCGCGCACCTCGGATCACGCGACTAAACCTACAGTTCCTAATCGTAACGAAAGTAACGCTTTCATTACCATCATATATATAGAATTTATTAACTATAAGTATATATATATACATATAATTATAGTTAATAAATTCTATATCAATTAAAATTTAAGATCTACCTGACAAAATGACAGTCCATCTTTATCTGGTTACATTCACCTATGTTCTAAAACTAATGACTGAAGGCAAGTTAGACAGTAGTGAGTTTACGATCACGTTTGGTTCGATGGGAAATGTATAAACAAGAATGAGTACATGTAGTTGCCATTAGTATAGTCCTTTCGCTTGACTGAGAACTATTCAAGGACGAGGTGTCACTGTACCAACAGCAGTTTACCGTTCAAATGAAAGATCAACCAAGTCTACGATATAATGACGGTATATTGGGTGCCCTTTTGAACTGATTTTTGAGTCATAAACAGGATGATGTGAGAAAATTCCGGTCCTTTCTACACTGGTCAATGCATAACCGCACATTCTAGATCAACGAGTGACAACCAAAAGCAGGGGATCAGAAGATTGAACCACACCATCTACAACGCCTTATTTGTCGAAGGGGAAAATACCCGACATAGAAAAGCCTTTCTAGTGTAGTGTTGAAACTGCTTCTGCCATTTCAAGGAATCATATTCTTCTCAAGCTGATCTCGTTGGCAAAGGGCAAATCGTTCACAAGTCCGATTATCACGCTTTGGATTCGTTCGAATTTCCACCAAGAATTGCAAAAGCTGTGCAACACCTCACCTGCATAATCTTTCCCACCAACATAGTACCGCAAAGGTGTTGAAAAGAATCAACAAACTGGTTCAGATTAAACCGCGCATTATGTGCTACCCCAAAAGAAAACAACTGTGGCAACCTGCGAAATTTTATGCTCACTGAACTTTTTGTTTTTACGAAGTCTTTTTACGCACACTTTGTTATCAAAGCAAAAACATTCCTTCATCAAACCACACCCGATACAATCTGAACCTCAGATGAGAAGGATGAAACGAAAACAAAATCACGAGATTTCGTGAGATCTAGTAACTAAAAAAACAGAAAAAAGAACACTTGAGAAGTTCAATTCCACTAATCTACAGATCGCATTATCGATGAATATTTACGGATGTGCTGGAGATCGCAAAACAGATAGGAGTGGAAAGAATAGTTGGTTACTAACCAGTAAGGTGTGCCAATAAGTGTAGTTCGTTTCCCAATGGAGTTATTCAGTTGTGCCGCCACTCCAAAGTCCGCTGTGAAAGTAATGTCCATATACCGATTAGTGAGGAAACTTACCGACTTTGACCCGACCATCGTCGGTCAGAAGGATGTTGGCACCCTGTGAGAAGAGATGTTAAAATAAACCACAAATAGTTACTTTGATATCACGATGTATTCGACCGCGTTCGTGCATGAAATTTAAACCCCGGAGTGTTTCACGTGAGACAAACGCTATACAGTCTTCCTCTAAGGGTCTGCGTGTATCTACAATATATAGTGATAGAGGGGAGTGAACGAAGTGAACTTACAAAGATAGATATCTTGCATAGATTGGCCGCCGCAGTACTCCATGCAAATCCATAGTTTGTTATTCCTGTAGAAGCTATCACACAGAAGGAACTTGCCGACGAACCTTAAGTAACTTCCGTAGAACTGGACGATATTGGGATGCCGACATTCACGCAGAGTGTGTATTTCTTGACATATAGAACGGACATCATCCTTTAGATCAATTTTCATAATCTTGACCGCCACGGGCTCTCGCGTCTCACGATGGATAGCCTGAATTTGGAAATGATTGAAAAGTACGAAGAGGTGGGAAGAAATGATCGTCGATTAGGACGGGAGTAACACTTTCGTGGGTCAAGCAATAACAACACAGGGACTAGTGAATAGTGGAATTTAACGTTATAAAGTGGAGAAAAACAACCAGTGCAAGGAAAGATCTATCCCATTACTGGTGGTAATGATACGATGAAACGTTCTTTTACTCTTGATAATCCATTGACACGGCGCGCTCAGACAAAATTCAACAAGTATAGTTGATCAAGTACGAATTCAGCTTCCGAGTTAGACCTATTGGTACGATGTGCTGTTTCGTGGCGGTTGAGGAGGACGTGCGTTGGAATACCAACACCAACGCCTGACTTTCCTTCAATTTCATTTGTACGGCAGCCCTTTGATTGGTCGCTTCACCTTCCGGAAAACTGTATTATTGTATATTCGATAAAAATAAACAAAATCTGAAAAGAAAACGCTTGTTTGTCTACTTTATTTTTGTTATGTCTGTTCTCAACTCTGCCTTCTATCTTTTTCATCCGCCTTTTTCCAGCTGTGTGGTATAGAGCCCAGATCTTGATCCTTTGCAACGGATTCTACAACTGTTTTTAATTTTGAACACCACATTTTTCGTTCAACATACTAAGGACTGTTTAAGTGCTCACTACTCTCACTATCATTAATATTCACAAATGTGCCGTAATCATGAATCCAAAGAAAAACAATCACTGTTCAGTTGAAAATAAACGATACACTGCGAACTAGAATGACCGAACACATGCCCAAATACGTGAGTGAATCAATGGACTGCGGTTTTCGCACACCGCCCCGCTGCCTTGCGGGTCAGGCTTCGGCTAGCCGAAGGCTCTGGTTGTGGATTCCTCAAGAAAATTCACCTGCCTTGGCCTGGGCAACCTGGCAGTACTCAGCCCACAAGCCAATCATGAAACATTTTTCTTTTTATAAAGATTATTGTACCATGATTTGTTTGGCACACAGTCTGTCCTCAGACAAGTGTGAATATATATATATATATATATATATCCCATGGCTAGAGGCACTGGGTGAATTGGCTGAATGTCACAAACAGGGGCGCTCATGCATACACATTTTCGGTGCGAATTCAATAAACCAGTATTGTGTAACTTAATCTTGGTGCTGGTATCAATGTTTACTGCTTTGTTGACCAGTCAGAAAGTTAGCCAGAAGAGAACAATCAGTACTGAAACAGGAAAGTGTCAGGCTAATGTTACATGAGAGTAGTGGAGGATTTTATTCATTTGTATAACGAATTTCATGGTGCATAGATCAAATGAAGAAAGAACTGGAAATCTGGAAAGCACTGGACAGCTGTTTAGATCCGCTTGAGTTCCATCAGCAGCGCGAATCCATTGACCCCACTGAGGGTCGAACCAGGGTCCTCACGGGTAAGATACAAGCATACCACTCACTCGACCACCGGACAGCTGATAACACCGTTCATCATACATGATACCACATAATCCATCTTTGCGAGCTTGTTGCAGCCAACGCACCACGACAAGATAAAACTTTTTGTTTCCTTGCCATATAATTACTTACATTGTTTTCACTAGTTCGTGGCACACGGATCTAATTGCATAATCAAGCTTGCGAACTTAAATACACAATTCCAATTCGCTAGGACTTTAGGCCTCTATCACGAGTGCTTCCAGTGATAAGCCACTCAAGCCTGGGAGCTATGTGCGGCTATCTATTTCACTATAATGCGTTCGTGGCTTTGAAGGTCGCTTGCAGTGCGAATCAAAGAACTTCTTTCGCTACTTCACAGCATCGCGATCGAGCTGAGCTTGTAGTGCATCAAAAAGTTGCACCAAGCGAAATGTTGTGTAACTATTTGATACTTAATAGCAGTGTGATCAGTCTACACTTCGGTTTCTGTAGACAACCTTTCTCAAGACAGGTTGCAAAGAGATCGTAAACCTGTCACGCTAACCAAAATGTCGATTGGCAACCAAATTTTCGGACAACAGTGTCAGTGAATAGCACACATCGACTTATTCCTGAATCTGGGGGTTAGGCCCTCCGAAAAAAGTACCGACATCAGTAGTTCACAGCTACATCGAATCTCTGCACACTGCCACATCATTTCGATAAACTTTATCACTAATAACAAAAACGGGGAGTTAAATTTTTCTACCTGAAACCTAACCATGGTCAGTAGTACTTATTTGAATACAACGAATGCCAATAACCCGAAAAAGTTCGCAGTTTTTACTCATCGCCCCTATGACGTAATAGATGGAGCGTTTGGTAGAGAGAGCAAAGTTACTTTGAAGTGCAACAGTGGGCTCAATCAAGATAAAACGATGCACCTGATTCCCTCAAGCGTGACTTTCCTCTAAGCAATTGAAACAACGCTCGTTTATGAGACATGAATGACAATAACTGGTTCCCTGACTTTTGGTGAACAACAGTCGTTCACCACAATGTGTGGAGTTACCTTATGATGAGCTCCCCCAGATTCAGCGGTTGGAGACGATTAAGAATCAGTTCATTGAGTGGTGCATCTCCTACGTTGTTATTAAGAAAATGGATAATGATAAAGAAGTTGTCTCTGGGAAAGATAAGGGTCGAAAGGAGAAGAATAAAAAGAGAGGTGACGATAAAAAATAAGAGATTAAACAAAGGACCCGGACTGACCTGGGCAAACTAACAGTATCACGCGCAAAATCACGATGAGACTGCACCTTGACACGGTGTGATGGCTTGTGCACCTCTGTGACCCAACGAGCTACATAGGTCAAACAAAGTATAGTCTCCTGGTCCTCCAGGCTGGGGTTCGGCTGGAATTTGCGTTTCAGTCGGTGAAAAAACGGCGGAGGAGTAATCGATCCAAGTAAATGGGCCTCTACTTCGCTTCACCCGCCGCGTTGCGATTAGGTTCTTGTTAGAATTGAAGGCTTAGAACGAGAACCCTAACCATTCTTCTGCTTAGTGGCCGGACACACTAGCAGTTACCCATCCACCAGACCCCAATGCATACACAAAATAAAAATTATTCCATACTGCATCGGTCGTCATGCAGAATAACCAAAACCGCGCTGCCCATTGCATCGAGCGGGGTAGGTAGTGATGAGTGGACTACTGTTCAGACATCCCAAGCTTTGTTTCATTCTGCCTTCAGCAACCAGCCCTCTCCAGTTTCCCCTCCTTTCAAACTCTAATAGTCCCTCAGGCAACTTGGATGTGGCTCGCCAAAGTTCATTGCCAAATAGCGCTGTAATTAATGTACCACGAAACGAATTGCAGATTCTAAAGCCCCGTCAATCACTGAATCTGGGGCCCTTAACGTGAGGACTCTGATACAGGTAGGTACACAAGCTTGACTGGCCCGCACAGTGGAATCCTTAGGGATCGATNCGATATTTGCTGCGTGTCGGAGACTCGAATTCAGGATCCTATTACCATAAGCCACTTCAGCGCACCAGAATTGTCCTCAAGATACGCTCTTCGCATATCAGGCGACGATGAAGCCTGTTCAGTAGGTCAGTGAGCGGTACGTATGGTACTCAGTAACAGGGCTGAGTCCTTTGTCGACTGGATCCCAGTCAATAGTAGTTTATGTGCAGTGCGCCTGCACAGCTCAATCAGTGTACGGAAAGGAAACAACACCAAATGGTGTTTGTTCATCGTATCGGCAGACGCACCAACCAATCGCAGCTCTGATATTTAAAAGCAGGCTTTCTACAGTGAACTCATTGATCTCATGAGGGTGAGTTGGAGCCCGACATAGTTGTACTTGCAGGTGACTTCAACGCCCAAGTTCGAAAACGCATCAGAAGCTTGTCTAGACGGAGGTTGTGCTCTTACTTACCAACGGACAGATAACGGTGATCGACTTCTTCAGTTCTGCTGCAATGAACACACAAACAAAAAATAATTTCATACTGCATTGGTCATCACACAGGATAATCAGGACCACGCTGCCCACTGCATCGAGCGGGGTGGGTAGTGATAAGTGGGCAACTGCTCAGATATTCCAACCTTTGTTTAACTCTTTGTCTTCCGTTCCCAACCCTATCTCTTTACCCCTTCTTCCGACCTGTAATATTCCCTCAGACAACTTGGTCGTCACTGGCCAAAGGTCTTTGCCAAATCGCACTGTAACTAGTTTTCCTGTAAATAAAGTGCAGATTCTGAAGCCTCGTTAACCTCTCAATCTGGGGGCTCTCAACGTGAGAACTCTGATGTAGGTAGGTCAACAGGCGTGTCTTGCCCGTACAATTGTCCCTGGAAATCGATGTCTGTTGCGTATGGCAGATAGGAATTCAGGATCCTAGTATTATAAGCCACCTGAGTGCGCCGGGTCTGTCCTCGAGGAATTTCCTTCGCATATCATGAGACAACTAACCCCGCTCACTAGGTCAGCGTGGTGTAGGTATCGTACTAAACGATAAAACTGAAACTTATATGATAGACTGGATACCCGTCAATAGTCGTCTGTGCGAAATTAGGCTACAGGGTTCAGTTAGTGTTTGGAAGGGTAGCAACACCAAAAGGTGTTTGTTTATAATTTCGGCGTATGCACCAACCAACTGCAGTCCCACTTCACAAAAGGACGAATTTTACGACAAACTCCGCCGAACTAGTTCGGTTGAGCCGCAGATCCGATATTACAATGCTGGCAGATGACTTTGACGCACAGGTTGGAAAACTTCGGTTCAGTTTGAACAACCATTAACCATGCACTTTCGTGCGCCGGCTTTGGTTGCTGTCTTTTGGCTGC